CTTTTTTTTTTTAATTTCATCATGTTGTTTTAATTTCACCTCTTCCTCATCAGTAGTATATGACCAGTTGCTCCTTTGTTCAATGGGTTGTAGGGGGATCGCTGAAAACTGCAGAAAACTCAAGTTGTCAAATAATGCATCTGTGTATCTGTGACTCGTCAATATCTCTTCCACATCATGTCATTTGATTTGATGCCGTGGTTCATCAAGTAACATTGCCACAGGCCTAGGATCTTATACATCTGATAAAATTTGATAATGTGTATAATATCTCTGAAGTATGTGTATCATCATATCTGTCATACTGTAACCGATTGTAGTTCGGAGTCAGGAAATTGTTTTCAGTTTTGGGGGAATGGGAAGTAATATATCGGCCTGGTTCGGATCATAAGTTTGAGAATTTCTTGCTTGGCAAATGTGAGAAGTAAACTTGGGGATCAACTGACTCACTCGAAGACAAAGATCAGACCAATAAGTAGAGTTAGTTCGCCAAAACAGAACAGTTCCGTCATAAAGACAGGGGTAAGGTCCCGGGAACGTCCTTCGTGCGTGGGGATCCTCGGGTAGGGGATCTCCTCGATTGGTTGTCCGATTCCTCCTTTTAAGGCTATCTTGACCAATGGCTGGCTGCCATTTTAATCTTAATCACGTGATATTGCAACAGCCAATCGAAATTTAATACATTGGTACGTGACATTTATGACGTCACCTAACTGACCAATGGCAGGTTGCCATTTGTTTGTCATATAATATTTATAACGGCCAATCGAAATAGAATATTTTGTTACGTGATTTTTGTGACGTCCCCTAACATAAAATCATACATTCTAAGGTGGGTGAAACAACTATAATGAAAGCTCATAGATAAAAATTTCATTGTTGTGTTGGCATGTAATATTTGGCATGTTACGCTCGTTTTGTCTACTATATACAAGGACTATATGTTTTAGCAGAAGAATGATTTTAAAACCATCAAATAAGTTGAATTAAACTAATAATTATTAATTCTTTAGAAGTCTATACGACCTTTCCACAACCCTGAAAGACCTGGGAAGACTAACCTTCATGTACATAAAGTTAAGGACGACATAGATACTGAATTTGACTTGTGAATTTATACCACTTTTGGTCACATGACCAATTTATTGTGGCGTTTATACAAATTGTAAACTGCTTATAACATCTAATGATATGCAGAACTGTAATCGATACAATTGACGGTCACCCTTATCTCATCATGTTTCTAATACATATTTTCCGAAAGCACGTTTTACACCAATGGCACATTTAATTTAGCTTTATGCTGAGTTATATTCTTCTGTTTTTATCCCTAAATTGTGTAATGCTTACCAAGTCACGACAAATCACAAATTCCTGTTTTTTGTAATTTGTTGAATTGAAATTTGAGAACGCACGTGTGTCAAGTAAATGTCTTCTGAGTCAAATAAAACAATCGGCCTGAATATAAAACCCCTTTGTATCAAATATGAACATAACTGATCAAGTTAGTAAAAAAAGATTTTCCTCGTAAACAATTTGTCAGAATACAATGATAGAAACACAGGGGAAATATTTTGTTAGGATATGGTTTGAAATAAAAATGTAAAACAAAATAATGCATGTACAATGCTAGAACTTGGATGATTTTAATTTAGTCAAACATAAATGATCATCGGAATCTATTTTGTTGTCAAGCACCACAAGAGTTATAATGTACCATTGTAGAGGTATTCCACACAACCAAGCCACACAGCCAAGCTACAATGATTCAATGAAACTAATATTATTTCAAAAAAAATTAACAGAATGAACAAACATTTATCATGCACTGATTATGATGACTTTGAGAAACATCACAAACTCTCGTCTTTTAAGCATTTCTATACTTAACCATTGGTTTTGAAAAAAATACCAAAACCTAGTATTTTGTTCCAAAAGGTGCGGCAGTAATAATGTACATTCAGTAATAAAATCCATTAGATTTCCGTAGATATCCTATTAATCTGTACAATTTTCCCGCTTTTAACCTATTAATAACCGAATTAATTTCCTTTAATGTGAGTTTTGTCGGCACGGTTAATATTATGACGGAAGAACGAAGCTGAAGTAGAATCCGGTACATCCGGGACACTCCGAATACGAGATCCAATCAATGACCAGACATTTAGTAGATCTTTAGTAGCTTTTTTGTTTGTAAAATCGTGATTTTTTTCCCTTGTGCCTCAAAAGGTTATCTGCATTAGACCACATAAATCTAATAAAACTTAAGATAAACTTATTAAGACAACCCTGCTTATATCTTACTTACGTGTTGTTCGGAATAAGAAGTGTGAAGTTCACAATGTCTAGATATTGCATGTGCAGCTTTAAATTCACTATAATTCGCGTTGTCACAACTGATAGACAGATAACGCATATACCATTCTGGGTCATCAATCATTGCAGGTTTTTCAAAATCCCATGTATTACGAGAAAACCAGGAACATGGTTTTGTTGATGTTCGGTATATGTCATAGTACATGGCATTTTAAATACATTATTTTATTTTAGTTAAACAATTATCTATTACTATTGTTGGTTTAACAATAACGAATGCTGATTCTAAAAACTGACATAATTTTGAGAATCAGGATTTCCTAGTAACACTATAATTTGAAATATTAATTTTCGATAACGAAAATCTAGCTCTCGATATTCAACTATGACATCCATAATACCATAATTAGTACGCATGCAGCTCTATATAATATAAGTGACTAGCAGTATATCTTGGTGTCCAGCACTTCCAATAAAGTTTACAAATAAATATCTTTTGTGAGATCTTGAGTCGGCCATGATGGATTTAAGGTAAATATGATGTGATATCATTGGCACAGTGGAGTTCAGAAATGGTACAATTCTGCCATTAATCATACCAAATTGTCAGCAACCAATGCCTTAAGTCATCTGGAACTTGATTTAATAAGCTGCGGTTATTTATTGGACAGTTCGAGTTAGGTAATTTTCATTGAAATCACAGTGACAGGCATGGGGTGAGTTCTGTTGATGAACATGTGATTTTCAACATAGGAATGAATACAAACACATTTTGGAGTGCTGCTCACATTGATGTTCTAATTATCAGATTTATTTGATGAATGCAATCTACAATGTATCAATGATTTCCATTAATTCATTTGTTATTGTATTGGGTTTTGTCACATGATTTATTTGGAGAATTTTGTTGGGAATAAATGCTGAATTTTCATCCTGAAGTTAGAGTGTCTTTGTTCATTGTGAACTCAACTCCATGAGTTGGCATTAAAACCCAGTCTAGTGGTCCCATGGGATTTGGGAGATACATTACCAATGATATTATTACAAGATAAATGATTTGCTTCAATGAACACATGATACAACAATGCATATTCCTACTGGGATCAGTGACCTTTGAATGTGTATCACCAGTGATCCGTCAAGTAGAAACAGTCAACATATTTTATCAGATTTTCTCAATTTTTACATGATATTTTCACACAGGACATCTGTTGTTCAAACTAAGGGAAGATTTTATACTGATGAAATAGGTGACCAAGTTTGAAAAAATTGGAATAGAATTTGTAAAGTTATATATAGTGCACACAATAACAATTATTAACAACGACAGCGACGACGACGGCGACGACAGATATTTTTTTCTTAATATACCTCTCTCTTCCATCTTTGATGGTATGGGCAAATAAAAAAAGAGGTGTAAAATGCATTCGTGATTAGCAAGCAAAATGTATTCGTGATTTCCATACGTGTTTGTTCCAGTACTGTATAATCGAGCATTCCTTGTATATTGTTATTGCAGCGACCACTCCACATGAGCAAGAGAAGACGAAGAAGAAAACAGAGAAGACGTAGAGGGGGTAATTACTTTTCTATAAAAATAAGTATGTGATGCCATGCAACCAACAATTAATCTGTCGGAGATGAGTTCGAATGATCATTTATCTTCATTCCCTTGTTTCCATTTATTGCATGTTATGTGATTCTTCGCTAGAAGACTTGGTAATTTATGCGTCGGTGTTGGCGCCAGAACTTAACTCTGATTCCGGTATTTGCTTTGTCGCATGCTGGTCGTGCGCGGTACCTTTTAGTCTCAATTTTGTGAGCATTGCCATGAATTAGTTTTCGCGTATCTGTTGATCGACTTGGTTAGCTGGTTACTAGTGAATGGCTGTGTTATATCTGTCATCGTTTAGACTCATGCGAGGTCCTGGGCGGAACTTGACTCAGTGATTTGAAATTAATTACGATATAACCGTCACCATCCGAACTACTATTTCTGACAGTTTGGTATTTGTAGTTTAGTAATATAGCGGACGATTAATCAGTAGATATGACGTATCCAGTATTTAGTCTGATTGTGCAACTTGAATGTGTGAAGGTTGCGCCCTAGAGTCTTTAAACTTCTTTGTAATTGGTTAAGTTTTGATACGTAATAAACGGTCTAAGCCCTTGGTCACAGAGAGAGCTCCACGGGGCGAAAGGGTCTTGGTCAGTCCTGGGCAGAGTTCCGGACGAGTCAGTCCTAGGGAGAGTCTTTGGACGAGGCAGTTTGCCTTGAGGCGTTCTCGATGTGGCTAAAGACTAGCTATTGATACGTATTTCGTTGTGTGTGTATATTTGACTGTAAGGCTTAAGTGACTTTTCCGATCCCGTACCTCAAGGGGACGTGATAGAGAGAATTTCCCCTATGACAGCAGTATGTTATTTCACTGACAAAGGATTTGCTTCATAATCTATTCTAGGAAACCTTCAATATCCCAAAGACGCGGGAAAGCCAATATCAACCTGAAGTATAGTTTGAACTGAAAATAATGCCCTATGCGAGTTGTAAAAAATGTGTATTATGTAGATTGTACATGCTAAAACAGGCACATTTCATCATAGACCCTAAAAAGGGTTTCACAAAATGATTTGCGTATGTTTTGCATATAAACGGTTACACTAATATTCAAAATAGTAAACAGTTTCATTCGTATTAGAGATATTTAGAATATAAATGTAAAATTGTTCACAAAAAATAGGGGTTACAGTAATAAATCAACGCTGAGAATAATGTTGCAAGTGACCGTGAGTTCCATAATACATACAAATCTGATTTTACAAACATTACAGAAGGTACATTATAAGTACATTAGATGCATATGTGATGTATGACATATAGCAGAAAGATAAGTGTGTCCCGCGTTAGTAAATAAACTTTATGGTAACATTCTTAATTAGCTGTTCGAATATCAAATTTTCAGCGATTCCTGATTTTGTAATATTTGCATATATTGTAAATTCATAATTTTGCTTCTTTTAATATTCGGCGTAGAATCTTCCCACTCTGTGATTTCGGAATTTCGTCTACAAATTGTATCCCTCCTCGTAGCTTCTTGTAGGGTGCACATTTTCCTGAAAATATTAACAAATTCTGTATTTGCTCTCTTGTCATTAGAAAGTATTATTTTAAATGTAATAAAACTATAAAACACACTGTATCTCAGATTTACTCAAAATGTATTACCCTCTTGAACCATCGCTACAATTGTTTGTTTTTTTCTAGTTGAATGCATGCTTTATATATTCGTATAAGAGGATATGGGAAAAAAAGTAAATTTGATATTTTCAAAGAAAAAACATCTACTACATCCTTAATTGTAACTATTTGATACCTTGATAGATGCTGCATTAAATACATATTCGGATTAGGCATCCCGATCACAACATAAAAGAAATCATCACGATGTGTAGTTATTTTGTCAGTAGTTATACCTTCAATAAAATCGAACACTTCTTTCTCCAGTATATTTGTGTTGGACCGCACTACAAAAGCTTTTGGCACCTCTCCAGCCTCTTCGTGTGGTACACCAATGACACCAGCATCTTTAATACCCGGATGACTTATTAATAATGCCTCCAGCTCAGCCGGTGCCACCTGGGATAATATTTTTAAATGACAGTTAATATAACTCATGTTTTTTGTATATTTCTTCACGCAACTTATAGACTTAACATATTGAAATGAACAGCTGTAAGACCAAGCCCCATTCTCCCTTTCTTTCTTTATTTCTCCCTCTCATCCTAATATTATTTCAGTGTAATGCACACTACCTGGTATGCCTTGTATTTGATTAATTCCTTCATTCTATCCACTACGTGAAGCTGTTCTTGTTCATCAATGTAACCAATATCACCTGTAAACAAAGTGATAAATCGGGTGTTCAGTTTCAATCATTAACGAATGCTACATAATAATTAAAATAGTATTCAATGGTCATACCTGTGTGCACCCATTTGTCTTTATCTATTGTGTCCCGTGTTGCTTTTTCATTCCCAAGGTATCCTAACATTTGCTGGGGTCCACGAAGACATATTTCTCCGGTTTCACCAGGCCCCAATGTGCTGCCATTTTCAGTGTTAGTGATCTATGGTAAATATTGAATTACTGAAATGAAATTACAATTGCTAAAAAATGTCGAACACCGTGTACATTGTTTCCGTGTAATATTGTATCCTGAAAAAACAAATTCCGCATCCCGATTTGCCTAATAATCTTTTTTAGGAGAGTGTGTGTTAAAAGTAACACTACCTTCGCTTCAGTGTTCGGTATCAAAATACCAGATGACCCAAGCGTCCACTTCGTGGGATCATTACCATAACATATGTGGGTCACAATATTTTCAGTCAGTCCATACCCTGAAATTTAGTAACTATATGTTATTGAAATTGTGTAAGTAAACAACGTAATGGACATGTAATTTGAGGTACTTTTAAGATACTGTGTTTAATAGCCCAATCAGCCAATCAGATTTGCGCATTTGGCGGTCAATAATTTATTTATTGACTTGTCAGAGGTAACAGACGTGATGTTAGGCTTCGGCGATGGTACTAAAAAATCTGATTCATCGTTGAGGTTTGTCTGCGTTTTCTCGGAAAATGAACCTTAATTTGTGAACAGGTCGAACAACTGTAACATTATCTGCTCAACAAGGTATCTTGCATTACTTGGAACAGTTACGTTTATGTGAATAACCGGGAGGTAATCATCGAAAAACACGACTATATCAGTTAGTCAGCGCGACCGTGGTCGCCGCACCGTGTACGTAGCTAGCGCTGGTAGATTCAATTCGCATTGTATTCGTGGATTTTTTGACGTCGTATGCCGACGAATTCTATTTATTTCATCAAGGTAATTTTATTACTCGTTGTGTTATACCAACATCTAAGCTTCATGAAATTGGTCATTTAAAGCGTGGTGGTCGTCGCGCTGCGCATGCTGCGTGCAATAATCACAATATTCAATATGGCGGCAAGTACAAGTGTTAGTTATGAAATGGGAGAGATGAAAGCAGTGCTCATGGCAGCTAGTAATGCAGCGGATCCGAGATCGTGTAACTGCAATTGCGCATGTGTTGTTACATTTTGTTTATAAGCAGTGTGCTGTTTAGTCTATGTGCACACGCATCATGTCTAAACGTCACGGCTTCTGAAATGTCAAACAGTCACCCGTAATAAGTTGATACCTACGAAAATCCTAAATGTGACAGAAATTTTGGAAGGTATTATGGAATATAAATACATACGAACCATTGAAAGTGTGATGAAACAGCTGATTATGAATGGAGAAAATTGTTGATGGTGTCATTGAAAAATTAGGCGGGAGAGATCTTACAATGCAGCCAATTACAAAAATGTTGACCCCATCAGCCTCGGTCGATATCAGAATTGTTGACCCTCAGTGAGCAATGCTCTATTCGAGTCGACACATCTCTATATCGACATGAATGGTTAGTCAACGGCTATAAGATTATCCCTTACATATACACACCTTGTCTAACTATCAGTTTTCGGTTAATACGTTTAATGACAGCATCAGCAAGGTCTTCACTCAGTGGTGCAGCTCCAATTAAGATGTTATTTAAAGACGAAACATCGTAACAATCTACTACAGGATGTTTGGCAAGGAATAGTGCGATGGGGGGCACAATTGGCCAAGACGTAATCTGTGCACAAATTAGAACAATAAATGCTATGTATGACAATCATATCAAATGTAACCACAAGTATCGCGGAGCTCTGGAACGAATATTGAAAAAGCTAATTAAAGCGAAAGGGTCGTCACCTGCGCACGCGCGGGAATTGAGTTCCAAGCGATGATAACAACACACGCTAAGAACGCAAATGTTCATGGGTAGACGCATGTTTGTGAACAATGACACGCTATAGCCACCTGACGCATGCGCAGGTAACGACTTCCCCGCTTTATTATCACAAAATACATGTGACCGTTTCGGTGGGTATTGCCTATTAAGGTACACGTCTGCTTACAGTGGCGAGACACTTTGTTATGGTTCGATTGTCGCCTGTCCAGAAAATACGGGTAATGTATAATTCAGAATCCAAATAATCAGTTTTTACCGAAAATAAGCCATAAAAATTAATGTAGGGAAAATACACAAACCTTATGTTCTTGGATACATTTTAAAGACTGTTCTGCGTCGAATGTTGACATAGCAACACACTTGGCTCCTTGTGAGAGGGTTAGGTTTAGCGTAATTAAATTACCATATATATGGAAGAATGGCAGCACTGCTAAAACCGAATCTTCTTCTGTGTGGTATACAAGCCCGGGAGTGCTGTAAGCGAATATGAATACATTGGGTAATAAAAGAATACGAGTACATTGGTCAATACAAGAATACGAATACATTGGCCAATACAAGAATACGAATACATTGGCCAATACAAGAATACGAATACATTGGCCAATACAAGAATACGAATACATTGGCTAATAAACGAATACGAATACATTGGCTAATACAAGAATAAGAATACATTGGCTAATACAAGAATACGAATACATTGGCCAATACAAGAATACGAATACATTGGCCAATACAAGAATACGAATACATTGGCTAATACAAGAATACGAATACATTGGCTAATACAAGAATACGAATACATTGGCTAATAAACGAATACGAATACATTGGCTAATACAAGAATACGACTACATTGGCTAATAAAAGAATACGAATACATTTGCTAATACAAGAATACGAATACATTTGCTAATACAAGAATACGAATACATTAGCTAATACAAGAATACGAATACATTGGCTAATACAAGATACGAATATTGCTAATAAAAGAATACGAATACATTGGCTAATACAAGAATACGAATACATTGGCTAATACAGAATACGAATACATTGGCTAATAAAAGAATACGAATACATCCGGGGAATACATTGGCTAATACAAGAATACGAATACATTGGCTAATAAAAGACTATCTAGATAAATGTTTGGCAATATTGGTACATACCGAATTACGAACAAGGTCGCACGCACAGTACGCCACAGTCGCTGATCCACAAAAATCGGCTTCAATCTGCGTTTTAATGAACGCGTCCTCACAGCGCGTAGGTGAGCATGCGCGAGCCAAACATTTTAGAATACTTACCTCATCTGTATTAAATTAGCTATAAACGCGAAATGTGATACCATCACTCCCTTTGGTAACCCAGTTGTCCCACTCGAGTATGATAGTAGAGCTACATCTGCCTTTGGGTTAATGTCTATGCTTTTTGGAAATGACGAACCGTCATTGTCTAACAACGAGGAGAATGGCTTACATCCGTCTGCACCTCCAATGATGTACACATGCTGAAAATGCAAAAGTTTATTTTAAATGTATGTATATTGATCATGTGTTGCATTCACATGCCTTCCCAATGGCGGAAAGGGTGAATATGAGCAGTTTTGAAGGGTGTTAGCTGAGGGAGCCGGAACGGATAGACGATTCTTGTTATGGGGGGGGGGTCCAAACTTTAAAATCGCCAGACTAAGTTAATGATTTGTTTATATTATACAAAAACAAATTGAATACATTTTTCAACGGGGGGACCCCAAGAACCCCTCCCTCACCCCTCTAGATCCGCCACTGGGGAGAATAAAGAAACTTTTCTGTGAAATGAGCATACACAGAATGGGTATAGAGTCAACTGTTAGTAAAACCAGGATATCTTCATTTTTATTCCTGCTACGAATGTCATACATTTCCTTTGTGGTATTTGACGTATGAATGTGGGTTGTGCATTGTTTAAATGTAATTAAAATATAAAACCAATTCAATATATATATAATTTGCACATCGCAAAGAGTCAACTTTCCCCAAGGCAAGCGAACAACGAATCCTGTGCTGGACAATGAGGAAGGCGTGTCTACATACGATACCAACTTACATTATTTAATCAAGTGAACTGGACGAGTCAATGTCAGATTAACCTTTCTTTGAGAAAAAAATTAGTGACTATTTTCTATTTGATTATATGACAGATCATGTGCGGTTCTTTTACTGTTAACTTTACCTTGATCTTTGTCTTGATCGCTGCACTCCGAGCACCTTCAGCTGATGCTTGACTCGTAACAATTGATTTAGCGCTTGAGTCTTTCAGCTGATTCAGCAATTCATCTATATGTCAATACAAGAGAAATTTTGTTAACTATTGTTTAGTAATTCTGTTCTGTTTTTCCCCGCATGTACACATAAATAGTAAGATATCTTACCTTCGGTGTAAAGTGGGTTGACTGTTGACACAATTCCACCTATAGATAAGACGGCCTGCAGTGTGATGAAGAATTCAGGCGAGTTGGGTAGTTGAATAGCACATACATCGCCTTGTTGAAAACCATCAATTGTTAGACCAGTCGCACATTGATGAACCAGTTCTTGTAACTGAGTAAAAGTGTAGGTACGACCAGTGCCACTGTCAACCTAATTACAAGTAATATTGTTATTATTGTTATAATATAACACACACTAAGTAAACTGCGTTAATATACACTAGACACGGAAACTAATGGAATTCATCCGTCCGTAGAATACCGTACGGACGTGTTTGAAATTCACCTTTCCACTGAGTTTCGTGCGCGTTATTCGAACATCGTTCAGATCAATAGCGTGACAGCAGCTCATTTCAAAACAACGACAAGCAACATGTTGTTCCTATCGGTCCCTAGTAAATATTTATTTTATGACTTGGAAAGTCAAAAATACTGTGCGAAATTGATATTAAATAATAGAATTGCTTGAAATAAATATAAAATATAATCCCGACACAGCACACAAACGTTCACACAGCGCAAAACGTTGTTTCTTTGCCAATTCTGGCTGCTATTAATAATTGAATTATTAATACAAGCAGGAAAAAGATATATAATAATAATCAGGTTATAACGAGAATCTCGCCAAGTTTGCACTCGTGCACTACGGGCACGATAGGCGTCAGTCAATACGATCGACGTACTGCCTTCGTGCATACTTTGCGGTGATCTCGTAATAACCTCACAGTTCATAAATAAATTATGTTATCGTAAACGTTATTATCATTCAGACGTTGAAACAAAATCTGTTTCCGATACAAACTTTCTTTAAAAACAATTCGATTGTTTGTATACGCTACTTCAAGAAAGCCGATCTGCTCATGCAGAAACAAGTTATTTCGGCACTAATGGTGTGAACACATTTCGATTTTGTTGAATACAAAGAAACGCGCGCACCGACCAAAAACAGATCTAATTTTCGTTTCGCCTAATACAAAGTAATACTTGCTCTTACCATTGCCGTCCTATTACCATACTTCCCGAAATCTTTCATCACATACTGTGGTATAGTCATATCTTCAGGAAATTGACAATCCGGCAAAGGACTCTTGTAAACTACTGTGAACAAAACTATGTGTACAGAGTCTACATTTCACCAATCGCCCCCCCCCTTATATGACGTCATATCGTTAATAATACATTCCTTGGATACACATAACAACAACTAATAAAATAAACTAGTTGCAGATTAAGCGAGACGTGTTTGGGTAACATATAAATAGTTGTTGCTGATTCAACTTTGGTAAAGTCAGTGTATCTATATTTTACATACCATATACTCAACATACTCCACTATTTCATTTATTTCGTAATTTACAAATATCATGCCCATAATGTAAACACTGTATAATATTTCCCATCCCGATAAACAAAACACAAACAATAATAGCAACTTTAAACGTTTAAAAGTCAATTCACTTTATTTTAATAACTTTATGAACACACCTTCGTTCTTATTAAATAAATAAGAGCTTTGGCTGAGAGTCCGGTTCTGTGACAATCCATTTATGAACAAAGATCTACATTTAGATGAATAAGGAACAGTTGATCTTATCCGTGAACATGGTGAGTAAGAACCGACCAAACGAATTATTCCAGATGTTAATCGTAACGCCATAGTTGACCTATGAATACAAAATGCAACATGTAAAATAAATATGACGAGTATTTATTGTGCCAAACACGACAGAATAAACTTGTAAGCCCCAGATCGAAAAAAAATGAATGAATGTGTACCCCCAGAGAACATAATAATAGTTAAGACTATCAGCTTAGCGTATTGACAAGGTAATTCAGCTTTACAAAATGTAAAAATGTGTAGCCATCTCTGATACATAGATAGTTATCCCCTAATTTTAAGTAGTGAATACTCTATGTAAATTTTGTATATCAATCTTCCCTATTATATTTTGGTATTGATATTTGAAAAAGATTTAACCTTTTTACCACCAGACTTTCTCACCCAAATTTTTCTGCACTTTTTTCTTATAATTCTTACATATTTCTGGAAATTAACCCTAATTTTGGAGCCAACAGGCAAAATGTGAGTCAACTTTCAGTTTTTACTGAATGATTATTGTCCCAATCGTCTAGTGAAAAGTGCAGGCTATAAACAGGACTATTTTGTGAATTTGTGATGAAAAGAAGGAACTAGGGAGGAAAAGGTTAAATATTTATTTTATTTGTCTGTAATATTACCTCTGCAAAAACACAACATTAGTTCGGCCGATTTCATTCAAACTTGGCAATGACATCACTCGTGGTGGGTTAATAATGAGTGACATTTGAATGTGTTTTTTGTGCCTGTTTCTCAAAGATATTTTCATAAATTGGGGTTGAATTTGTATTTTGATGACCTTTTACCAACTAGTGTCCATTTTTGGTTTATGTGTGGATTATACAATTTTGTACGATGTAAGAATGACATTTCCTGTAAGATTTTGCTTTGACTGAAGTGTCATGAATTTGTTTTCGCGTATCTGTTAACCGACTTAATTAACTGATTATTAGCTGAATTGCTGTGTTATGTCTGTCATCGTGTAGGTCTATTTGAAGTTTTGGACGGAACTTGGCTCAGTGATTTGGAACTAATTACAAGATACCGTCGCTATTCTGACATCCGTAGTTATTAATGTAGTGAACGATTAATCAAAAGATATGACGTATTCAGTACTTAGTGTGATTGGCTTTATGATTGAAGGTTACGCCCTAGAGTCTTTTACTGTTTTGTAATTGGTTAGAGTTTTGAAAATGAATAAAGAGAGTTTGAGTTGGTCTTGGCGAATACTCCACGACAGACGCAGCCTTGGGCAGTCGAGTCCAGTCCGAGAGAGTCCAGGGGCGAGCCTTGAGGCAGTCCAGTCTTGGGCTAGTCTTGGGTCAGCCTTGCGAGAGTCTTGGGGACTTTTCCCCCAGGGCGCTGTGTCTTATAGAGTGCTCCAAAAGATCGACTAAGACGAGAGCTGAAACATATTTCTTTGTGTGTGTCTTATTTGACTGTAAAGTTAAAGTGACTTTCCCGATCCCGTACCTCGAGGGGACGAGATAGAGAGACGAGACGAGTTTCCCCCCTGACAGTGTGGAGACCCTGTGGAGAAGAATTTACCCCTGATAGAAGAAAGCCTTTTGAAGTAACACCAGATTTTTAACATGCTGAATACTCTCCCAACATTTAATCATGATCCTACATCTTTCGTTGTTTTTAATTGACACAAGGCATTAAAAAATAACGGGTACTATGTCCTTGACAATGATTTTTGTTTTAATTTATACATTATGTGTGATATAGTTTGTCTAAATTGTTTATGATTACCATACTGCAATATTTAGTTATTATCGCCTTGTGTTAATTATTCATGCGAGGGAGCTTAGAATGCTTGTATATATCGCTTATGAATATTTAGCCATGTACCCAAGATCATGTGTCAAATTTCAATTTCAACTGCTCGACAGCTCATAAATTTCTTCACCTGCGTACGCGCGAGAATTGAGTCCCAAGCGGCGATAACAACACACGCTCAAACGTAAAGGCCCATGGGTAGACGATTGTTTGTAAACAATGACACGCCATGGCCATCTGACGCATGCGCAGGTGACGACTCCCCCGCTTTAAGATTTGTGGCAGTGCAGTGATTGTATTACATGCCTTCTTCGTATTAACAAATTCTATAAAAATAGTTTTTTGTTTGTGAATCATTTTTAAAAATGCAATCTATATTTACGAGGCAGTTCACTTATTTTTTTGTCTATTATTTGAGGGTGTTGATCATGGAATGTCATTTAAAATAAAAATAAATTAGGAATATAATGTAACTGAACATAGACCAGATTTGTATTTGGATTATGCATTTTTGTAAACTACTTGCATATGGTTTTCGGGAATACAAATAGAAGCATGTACATTGTTGTCAATGTCACAATCACCCTGGGAAAAAGTATCGTGTTGTGATCGGTAACACGCAATATAGAAAACATTATTTCCATGAACGCAGATTGGTGGTCCTCCAAACACACATTTACATATATTATCGCCTGAACAACCAAAATACTGACACATAATCTCGCAATGTCAAAATACTAAGTGGTTTTGACTTGCTTGCATATTATGTTAATGAAGCCACATAGATCGTTTTATGGAGCTCAATGTGTTTACTGGCGACTGACCGGGGTCACGCAGTCCTAGGACTGACACAATGTTAGTGCAATAATCTCAGTCAATAGATTTCACTTATAGAGAATCAAACTACACTGACACTTATAATTACTAGCTGATGACCTGGTTATACATACAATGGCTTCGAGTTAAGAATGTTTTGTACAGTGCAGCGTGATATCAGTTACGATACAACGGCCATTTCCCTCATGCCATTGACTGATCAAATGCTCGCGTTCGTAGGGAATTTAAATAAGTATTTATGTAATATGTTAACCCCCCCCCCCAAAAAAAATGGCTGTCATATTGCAAAATAGTTTAAATGGTAATGCCTTAAACAATAATCCCCTTACCCCTTGACTTCCACAGTAAGTCTTGTAAACAAAACAAAGGAAGAAACCTGTGTAAAGAAATCAGAAAAGTATATGTAAATACAATAGAAAAGATACATCGATGGATAAATTAGAATATACAAATGTATCAGAGAGACGAGATAGACTGAAAAAGTAAATAAACTACGAAACTACAATAACAGTTTCCTTAACAATTGTATACAGATATTTATAAATAAAATAGCATTTGTCTAAAGTACTCGATGCAAAAAAAAGTGTAACAAAATCTTCGTTCAGAAAATGAAGCAAAAATGCATAAACAAATCGTAAATGGATTATGAATGTCATTCCAAATAGTAACACCTTTTATAAAACAGTAAAACACCAAGAAAGTTCAAACACGTTAAAAATCTAAAATTATATATCGAGCAGACGATATTGTAGAAAACAATAATGTAAACAAAGTTACGTAATTCCAGAAATATGCAAGAATTCTAAAAAAAAACAAAAAAACAATAGCATCAATAAGCTTACCGAACATAAATTTTGTAGAAAAGGAACATTAGATATCACAAGAAACCATCAAATTTAAAGAATTGTCTGAAAAACGACACTTCACAAAAGAAACTTAAATGGCTGCAGAGATGAATTGTGCCCTCAAACGAATACACTGGTAAATCTATAACATATGGTAAAACTTCAGACTTCGTTGTATCCTCAATGCGATCAGGTGATGGACGGTCACAGCTGGAATGGTCTAAAATGTTCCATGTGACCATCGACGAATCGAATCTTACACGCTCACATCATTCCGGATATTCATTGATCCGATCGTAGGGACGCCACGTGAAAGTCTTTTTCTGTCACAATATTTGAACTAACTTTGATTTACGGCCTGATAAAGTTTGCAGTTTGGGGTTTATTTTCACCCATTGTCACCCAACCAATATGTGAATAAAGCTGTTGGTGGGGATTAAATTATTATATTGTGAAACAGCTGGTCGTGGTTCAATATGCATGTATGCTGTATTCACCATTGGTTGCAAACTGTGTAGGTTTTTTATTTTTTTTAGATTATAGTTTCCTAAGGATTTTATGTGTCTAATAAATATTATTATTGCATGATAATAGTAGTTTGTACTGTAGTTACGTAATCGGTACAGACTTATGTGTTTGACTTTTATTAGGCAACATAGGATTCTATTGGAATACATATTAGTTAAAGCACGGTGATCGTCGCGCAGCGCGTGTTCGAATTTCATGTAAATAAACAATGTATTTTACACGCGTTGTATACGTCGCTATGAGTCCCATATCAAACAGGACGCGGCGCGACGACTGCCGCCCTTTAATGTTTGTGACAACTTGTTTTGTGAATTATCATTTTCATCCTGGCTTTGTATTAAGCGAGGGAATCGCCACCTGTGCATGCGTCAGATGGCCATAGCGTGTGTGTCATTGTTTATAAACAAGTGTCTATCCATGATCCTTTGCGTATTTAGCGTGTGTTGTTATTAACAAATTCCCGCACGTAGGTGACAACTCTCCAC